TAGTGGATAACAATTGTAAAAAATGAGTGAAAACAATCCCACGGACAATGCGACGGATTTAAGGTTATGTCAAGGTACGTCTCTTGTGAATATCAATTGATTGTTAGGTTTTCTCTTCTGAAATTACATTATGACGCATTCACATACATTACTAATACAAATACATTTTCCTGGGCGAGACGATGAGGCAACCACAAGCACTTCCACTGGTTCAAGAGGGGAAAATGCACAATATTACCGTGATTACAGAGCACGGAAGCGAGCGGAGCAGGAAAAAGAGACGTTGAATTGAACTAGTGATCCTTCTACGACTGCTAATTCTTCTACAATTAACGTCGCAGGTTGCGAAGTTTAACTTCTTCTGCGCGGAGGGACTTCACGCACTATTTTTTTTTTCTTCATCTTTTAAAAAAAGGAAGGGGAAAAAAAGCAGTGCTTTACTTGTGGAAATAAAAAACATCTTATAAGTTGAAGCAAACATTTTTCCTCCCAGTAGATTTTTTTTTCCGAATGTAATTTTATACTTTGAGATGGTTAACATTTTAAATGTAATTTAGTTGCTCACACAATTTTACAATCATTTGAGTTTCATCACTATGTAACGCAAATAAAATGCAATGAAGGAATCGAGATTTTTCTTACATTAACGGACAATTCTTAAAACGTCTACTAAATACCATCATTAACCAGCAAACAATATCCTTCTCTGCATCTCAACATAGTACGCGGGTGTAACACCTGTCCATTAGGTAGCTATCGTAGACAGAAGACAGCAGAATTGTGCCGGCTATAGCGTTAATGAACAAACCTCTTTGAAATCATTTTCAGCTTTAAGACAGAAGCTGACACACGAGTGATAGTGAGAAAAAGGATTCTATCCAGGAGGATTTCGACGTGTCCTTTGAATTGTCACAGAAAGAATGGTCGAGGACGTCAGAAGAGCTAAATGATCGTTTTCTAAACTTTATTAGGGAGAATTTCTCCAAGATGAAGCGCAGATCGCCTTCAAACAATTAATTTAGAAAAGCGCAAAAATAATATTCGGAAATTGCAAAAAGTAACATACAAGATGGAGCTCCTAAAGTGGGGTCATCGTACAGCGTCCGATCGTTGTTTGTACTCCAGAAGGGACAGAAAAATCTCTTAAAGCACATATTAATCCAAACTGGTGTCAAAGGTATTAGAAGAATTAAAGAAGGTAGAGTAGTAATCAAAGTGGTATCCAAAAGAGACGCGAAAATAATTAAAGATGAAATCGTAGAAAAACATATCACATAAGATTACTTTAATTTTATTTAATTTACATTTTTTTCTTCTTTTTTTTTAGACTTATAATTTTTTAATCGTGAAGATAATTTTTTTGTAACCAATGTTAAAGATATTCATTAAAATTTTTTGTTCAAAGTTATTGCATTTTTTCAGCTTAGAAATCCGTAGCAATTAAAACTCATTGTCATGACAAATCATTAAAAAGAATTTTTTTTTAATTAGCAAAACAGCTTTCATTTTTTCTCACTTTTCGTTTTGGAATATTAAAAAAAACTATTATTACTTTTTGTCGTTCTGTCTGATCAGAAGTTACAATAGGCCAAATATTCAAAATTAAATTCTTTTCAAAATATAGCTTTTTTTTTAAATGCCCTGTCCATCTTGGAGTAAAGCTGATAAAAAAATCTATGTGCCGATAGTATTTCCATCATTCAATATGCAGTTTCATACAACTTGTTACAAAATTTAGTTAATGAAAATATATTTTATAATATGCAGTTACATTTAATTGATTAATTAAAAATGTGCTTTCATTGCTTTTTCCGAACTTTACATTTCTTTTCCTTTTGCTTTCAGATCATTCTGCATCCATAAGTATTTCCATCATTCATTCAACAGAGAAACATTCTCAAAAATTTCAATTCAAGTGAAAGTGTAGTAAGTGTGTTTTGCTACACACAAATAACACAAAGTGGAAGAATATCTATCTCAATGAGCAACAACTTACTTACGCTTGATGTTCATGATGATGAAAAACCTTTTTCTTCTAAAGTATGCACTAAGCGTTTTTGGCAGAGGCAAGATTTGGATGCTCACAGACATGTTCATACTAGTGAGAAACCTTATTCTTGTAGTATATGTAATAAGAATTTTTCAAGTAAGGGTAATCTGACTTCGCACAGCCGTGTTCATACTGGTGAGAAACCTTATTCTTGTAGTATATGTAATAAGAGTTTTTCACGTCGTGATCATCTTATTCGGCACGGCCGTGTTCATACTGGTGAAAAGCCTTTTTCATGTAGTATATGTAATAAGACTTTTTCACATAGTAATCTGATTATGCACAGCCGTGTTCATACTGGTGAGAAACCTTTTTCTTGTAGTATATGTAATAAGAGTTTTTCACGTAATACTCATCTGACTACGCACAAGCTTGTTCATACTGGTGAGAAACCTTATTCTTGTAGTATATGTAATAAGACTTTTTCTCAGAATTGCCACCTTAATGCACACATGCGCTTTCATACTGGGGAGAAACCTTATTCTTGTGACTTATGTAATAGGAGTTTTTTACGTCGTTCTAGTCTGATTCGGCACAACCGTGTTCATACTGTTGAAAAGCCTTTTTCTTGTAGTATATGTAATAAGACTTTTTCACATCATAGTGATCTGATTAGGCACAGCCGTGTTCATACTGGTGAGAAACTTTTTTCTTGCAGTTTATGTAATAGGACTTTTTATTATCATAGTGATCTGATTAGGCACAGCCGTGTTCATACTGGGGAGAAACCTTTTTCTTGTAGTATATGTAATAAGACTTATTCACATCATGGTGATCTGATTAAGCACAGTCGCTCTCATACTGGTGAGAAACCTTATTCTTGTAGTATATGTAATAAAACTTTTTCACATCGTTATGATCTAATTAAGCACAGCTATGTTCATACTGGGAAGAAACTTTTTTCTTGTAGTATATGTAATAAGACTTTTTCACACAAACACTCTCTGACTAGGCATAGCCATACTCATACTGTAGAGAAATCTAATTCTTAAAGTACATGTAATAAAAGTTTCTCTCATAATAGTTGGCTAAACGCAAACATTTTCATACAGGTGAAAAACCTCTTTTTTGTAGCTTATGTAATAAATTTGTTTCACAGTACTGCCATCGGACTGAGCAAATATTTATGTAAGTTTGCCAATCTGTTTTTTTCTGTTATTACTACCACTGTTATTATAATTTTACACCTATTTTTTTCCTCAAAATATTGTACCATTTTACGCTATTAATATTGATTTATTTATAAAATTGATTTTTTTTACCTAATAATTTTAAGTACATTTTTGAAACTTTCCTAATGTGGTAATGTATTAAATTTAAAAAAAATATTTTAACATAGCATATTCTTTGAATTTGTGTGTGCTTTTTTTATGGNTAATGACTTAGTATTTACTAAAAAGATGTAATTTTTTTTTCAAAGAAAAAGATGTTATATGGATTTGAATGATTGTTTTGAATTCTTAGAATTTTGTGCATTTGCAATGTACCGAAGTTAGTAGCGAGCGAAGCGAGCTTGGTTTGCGGAGCAAATCATATAAGATTGCGGAGCAATTTTCGGGGGTTGGCGAGCGTTAGCGAGCAGGGGGCGCAGCCCACTAGTTTTTGAAATTTTCCTAATGTGGTAAGAAATTAAATTAAAAATTTTTTTTTTAACATAACATATTCTTTGAATTTGTGTGTGTGCTTTTTTTATGGTTCTTGTAATAAATGCAATATTTTTTTCATATTACAGTTGTTTAGTTGATTAGGCAAACAAAAAGTAAGTTTTTGTGTCTTTGTTGATTAAACTTGTCTACTTACCTAAAAAATCAAGTTCAAGCAGGCGAATTTGGAGAATATTTCGTGGCTGCTCGAATCATTGAAATTTCTCTAAAGTAAGATATTTTGCGTAATGCATATTTCTTTAAAAGTTGGCACATTTATCCAATTTAAACAAAAACAAAGTATTACCGGTAAGTTGGTTTAAGGTATAAGTTGGCTAAAGAATGATAGATTGTTTTGAAAATAGATGGACTTAAAGTATACAAACATTCCTAAATATCCAATAAATTTTCGACAAAAGTCGTAAATATTAGATAATCCGTATTTAGAAAAATTCAAATGATTCGAGTGACCTCTAAATATTCTTCAATTTTACTGAAACTTTTTGAACTTGATTTTTTAGGTAAGTAGTAACCTAACTAATAAAACTTCTAACTAATAAATAAATAAAAAATATGTGCCCCTTCAAAAACTTCTTTCACACTACAGCTTGCTAAGGAGAACATTTTTGATCCAAAAAACATAATAAATAAATACATTACAGTTATGTTAGCAATAAAAATTTCCAGTGTTTTTCTGCTTTTAAATTTTATCTTGTGAAATTTTTGGTAATTTGTTAAATATGTCTTTGAGAATTATACAAAAGAGAGAGAATTACACTTTAATTTGAAAATATTACCTTTGAATAAAGTAGGGTTTGTAACCACATTTACACCAGGCTATGGGACGAAATTAGGACATTTTACTCCAGAGGCTAGTTGTAACATTTTTAACTAAAGCCATTTTTTTTTCAAAATTTTTCAAGTTTAAAAAGATTTTTAAAAATACTTAATATCAATGATGTTAGACATTTCTTTTCAAGCATTTTTCGAAGTATGGTAAACATTACACGGTTCATTTCTGATAGGAAAAAAAAAATTAAGAAACAAACTTGAAAATTTTAAGAAACAAACTAGAAACAAATCAAGCAATTTTCTCAACATTATAAAACATTCATAACAATTCCAACTTTTTAATATAAAAATAAGAAAATGGGGTGCATTTTCGAAGGAAAAGTGTTGAACGAATTTACAGTTGTAATACCTATCAAAAAATTTCAATTTTCTTACAGACAATTTTTAAATCACCACTTACTTATGCTATGTGGCCGTTATCGACGTTAATGTTGTCCTAAAACCTAAGTCCCTCAATTTTAAACGTTCTACTCAAGCAAAAATACGTAAAATAATTTTGTTTGAAATAACTATGTGCAGCATTTGTTTAAACAAAAATTTTAAATTAAAACAAATAAAATAAGAAATTATTCATTTAGCTTACGCACGTGTATTTATAAAGTTACTACTTTAATTATAATATTTTAAAAGATTTCAATTTCTGATAAATAGAATTCTTAAGTGTTTTGTTNTTAACGTTCTACTCAAGCAAAAATGCGTAAAATAATTTTGTTTAAAATAACTATGTGCAGCATTTGTTTAAACAAAAAATTTTAAATTAAAACAAATAAAATAAGAAATTATTCATTTAGCTTACGCACGTGTATTTATAAAGTTACTACTTTAATTATAATATTTTAAAAGATTTCAATTTCTGATAAATAGAATTCTTAAGTGTTTTGTTATTAAAGATGCAAACTGTTTTAGGTAAAAGTATTAATCCACATTTGTGTTTTGAAAGTAGAAGCAAATTTTGATTTCAATTTTTTTTTCCTAAACAATATGCTAGAATATTTTCTTAATTTAAAAAATGTAAAATATTTAACAAAACTTGCCCCTCTTTCATTGCTTAAGGATAAAGAAAGATTTTTTTTTAATAATAAATATTTAAAATAATCTTATCTTAGCATGACTAATGAAACTGGAAGGAAAAAAAGAAGAATTTTCTAGCATTTTTTTAAATTTTTATGTCAGATATTGTGGTTAAATTAAGAATCAGCTTCATTTACCAAAGAAACAAAGGGCCTTTTTTTTTTAAAAAAAAAGGAAAAAAAATTTATTATGGCTTGTTAGTGCTCTTGGCAGAGTATCCGCGCACTTGGAAAGTCAACAAAATTGAACAAAATTTGTCATGATTTGAACTATTTTCTAAAAAAAATCATGGAAAGTCATGGATTTAGGTCGCCAAAAAATTTAATTTTTAAAATGGAATCCCCCTCCCAATTTCATGGCGTTCGGAATATCCGAATTTGTAGCAAAATCCCTACTCAGAGTCTTATTTTATAAAAATATAAAATTTTCTTATCCTGTTCTCTAAAAATTATGGTGTTCTTTCAAGAAATGATAGAAAAAACATCATTTCTAGAACGAAATATCTTTTAAACTTCTGTGATTTCAGAATTATTATTTTTTTTTATTTTATTTTATCAATTTAAAATTCTAGCTGAAGCAAGCCAGTCATTGGCAATTTTTTTTAAAAATTTCGAAATGAGAACAGAAGTATCAGGAGTGTTTCTTTCCTTTCTTATGAACAAGAAAAGTATCTTTAGAATAGAATTCTGCAGAAAGAAAAAAAATTTTTTTTTGCTCAGCTATTTTATTGCTTCAACTCTTTCGTTACTTTATTTTTTTAAGATCAATAAATATGAAGATACAAAGTATAACAGTTTTGGTTATACTTATCATTTTAACTAATGTTATTATAATGCTTTTTAATTTTATTATTCAGTTTTTGTCAGAGAAAATAGTAACTTCGTTAAATCATGAAAAGTTCTTGGAATTAGTCATGAATCTGACAGTCTAAAATGTAGCAGATAGCCTGTCTGGAGTTGTTTGTTTTATATATTCAAATAGATAACATTGAAATGAAATTAATATATTTTATAAACAAATAATTATATAATTTAAATGAAACAATTTTACAATTATAAATAATTAGGAGAAAACTTACAAGGATACAAACACTAATGCAGTGTTTTTTANTTTGTTAAATTAAGATTCAGCTTCATTTACCAAAGAGAGAAGGGGCCTTTTTAGAAAAATTTAGAATTTATTATGGCTTGTTAGTGCTCTTGACAGAGTATCCGCGCACCTGGAAAGTCAACAAAATTGAACAAAATTTGTCATGATTTGAACTATTTTCTAAAAAAAATCATGGAAAGTCATGGATTCAGGTCGCCAAAAAATTTAATTTTTAAAATGGAATCCCCCTCCCAATTTCATGGCGTTCGGAATATCCGAATTTGTAACAAAATCCTTGCTCAGAGTCTTATTTTATTAAAATATAAAAAGTTTTTATCATGTTCAATAAAAATTATGGTGTTCTTTCAAAAAATGAAAGAAAAAACATCATTTCTAGAGTGAATCTTTTAAACTTCTGTGATTTCAGAATTATTTATTTATTTTATTTTATCAATTTAAAATTCTAGCTGAAGCAAGCCAGTCATTGGCAATTTTTTTTTTAAATTCGGAAATGAGAACAGAAGAATCAGGAGTATTTCTTTTCTTTCTGATGAATAAGAAAAGAATCTTTAGAATACAATTCTGCAAAAAGAAAAAATTTTTTTTTTTGCTCAGCTATTTTATTGCTTCAACTCATTCTTTACTCTATTTTCTTAAATTTGAAATCAATAAATATGAAGATGCGGAGTATAACAGTTTTGGTTATACCTATTATTTTAACTAATGTTATTATAATGCTTTTTAAATTTATTATTCTGTTTTTGTCAGAGAAAATAGTAACTTCGTTAAGTCATGAAAAGTTCTTGGAATTAGTCATGAATCTGATAATCTAAAATGTAGCAGATACCCTGTCTGGAGTTGTTTGTTTTATATATTCAAATAGATAACATTGAAATGAAATCAATATATTTTATAAACAAATAATTATATAATTTAAATGAAGCAATTTTACAATTATAAATAATTAGGAGAAAACTTACAAGGATACAAACACTAATGCATTGTTTCTTATTGTTTTTGATATAATGGACCCCTTTTAAGATTTTTTAAGAAGTCACGGACCACCCCCCTATGAAAAAAATAATTGTTAAAGATATCAATTATTAGAAAACATTTAATTTTATTATTTTAATAGTACGTATAAAAAATTTTTAAAATTAAAATTTTTAATGTGAAGGTTGCTGCTGCTTTTCCTTAATTAATAAATTGAATTGGGGGATGGTTTTCGACAAAGCAACGTACATATCATGTTCGACATTCAATCGATTTGGATGTTATGTTTTTACTGTCACAAGTGCGGAAAATTCCTCTTTGCAAAGATACATTTTAGCAAACGGAATTATAGCTACCATAGCTCGCTTTACAAGCAATGGGTAGGCTTCCAAACGTTTTTAAAAATTAGGAGTTGTCAGCGGACCCCCAAAATATAACTCATGGACCCCTTAGGGGTTCATGAACCACAGGTTAAGAAACCCTGCACTAATGTGATTTCTGTATTGTTTAATTTTAACTAATTCTTTTATATAAAAAATTTTTAAAAAAGTTTTTTTTTTTCCAATTTAAATTGAATTTGTGTGCCACACAAAATGCCACCTCTGGTTTAAAGTAACTTTATTTTTTTATATGTCAAATATAGCACACAGGAATCTGAATTATTTATAGTGTTAAAAGTCATGCTTCTCTATTTAGATATTACCTTAAATTTTACATTACATTATGGGAAAGTACCAATTTTATTTGAAATTACGCTTGATGAAATCTTGAAATTTAAAGAATAACAATACTNTATATAGTGTTAAAAGTCTTGTTTCTCTATTTAGATATTACCTTAAATTTTACATTACATTATGGGAAAGTACCAATTTTATTTGAAATTACGCTTGATGAAATCTTGAAATTTAAAGAATAACAATACTGGATATATTAGATAAAAAATTATTTTTGGAAAAATGTTAAGAAATATATACAGAAAAGTTCTTTTTGTTGAGATTCATACACACTTCAAAGAATCTGTATTTCTTTTTTAACTTTTATGTATTCAAAGAACCTTTATGTATTTATTTATGCATTATGTAACTTTTATGTATTTTTCATGTTAAGCGATTCATATCTGCGATGATTGAATCAGCTTAAATAAAAACATTCGAAAAGAAATAAGTTCCGGTTGAAAAAGTTTAAGCGGATCATTACGTCTTCAAGCGAAAATAAGCTCCGCCTTCAGATAAGGTGAATACAATCTTTGCAACAACGCCCCCTATAGCTCGTTGCGATCGTCAATAATGTAGGTGGGTAGAAATAGGCAACTAAATACTGGGTATCATTTTCGACTCTTGAACAAAAATTATAAAAAGAGCATTTTTAAGAAATATTTATACAGTTTATTTGTATGAATATTATCTTATTCTGATTAAGGGGCGGTCCTACTTGGTGCTGTCTCTCCTATTGTGCTATATGTCCTCTTCTACTTGACGAAGGTTTATAAGCGTATTTTAATCACACAAGCCTGAAAATGTATGTAATTGCAATAACCAATTATCTTATTCTAATGTCTTTATTTTCATCATACTAAAAGAGAGCCTAATTAGAAATTGTGTGAAGAAAAAAGAGCAATTGATATAAGGAAAAAATCTTCGTCATTAAGCAATAGTGAGTATTCATGTTGTGTATGATTCAGTACATTAAAAATTGAGTTTACGAATTTTTTCGGTATTACTTTGCAATGAGATATCTCTCTTGTTTTGCAAACTTTTTGTTATTTTGAAGAAAATATGGAAAATGACCTAAAAGCGACATTTTCGGAAATGTTTTCTAATCATGATCTACACCAAAATCATGAGAAACTAAAAATAACTTCATAAAAAGGTCCTACCAATTGGAAAGGTTCAATAATTGGTAGTCACACCAGGGCAAACAACTATAAGATTTTTTTGTCTAATAAAAGTAAGAAAATGGAAGATTTCAAATGTACAATAAGAGCCCTTGCCTCTCAGTGGAGTGGTTTTAGTTCAAATCCCAATATGACTGGTTGATACGAATTCCGCTTCTGCCTGAGAATAATGACGTAAAATTTTCTCAGTGATAGACATATCATGGGTAAGAGTCCCTTTGCCTAAAATTAACCATGGGAGGTTTTCCTCTTTATACGCAAATGTTGGTTAGTTCTACTATAAAGTCCACCAGGAAGGCACATTTGTTACAATACTTGATCCAAAAATTCTGGTGCCTTCTTGATTAGTTTTAAAATTACAAGGCTATAGATGTGAACATTGGTAGTTGTAAACTCAAAATTAGATTGGCTGTTTAGCAACGGTTATAAAATATAATATATTATGAAGTATGATCTCTTAAAAAGTTAATCATTGCAATACGTGCAGAACAGTATTCGAAATTGGGTTTTTGACATGACAGGTTGAAAACCAGTCGAAATCTTCATAAACTGCCAAAACCATGGGACAAGCCTATTTTTTGTCATTGGGGACATTTTATTAGATAGTAAATCACACACAATACTTGCATTACATATACTACTATAATTATGATTTTATATAGCTTAGATTAATTGGTAAGCTATTGAATGTTTTTTTCTAAATCACGGCCCGCTTAATATTTTATGATCAAAATTACAATTATTCAGTTTATATTTTAGGTAATAATTAAGAGTTCTTAATTATTATCAACTTAATTATTTACTGGTTTTATTAAAATTCTGGTTTTTTTTTTTTTTTTTTTTTGCATTTTAGAAAATTTCCTAAAATTAAGTAAGTTTCGTAAAAAAATGCTTATTGAATTAGAATTTTCATATAGATTATTGCTTATATATTTAAAAAACTATTACTGATACATAATGAAGCCTACCTTATTTATAGACATCAGTTCAAATCTTTTTTTTGCTCGAAAATTTTCAGTTTATTTTTATTCAGAATTCTTTCGAATTAATTAAAAATCTTTTTATCATTGATGGATTAAATGCTTATTAATATTCAAAATTATGAGTAAGCATAATATATAGCATTTTAAATATGTTTCATGTCAATTATAAGTGGAAAATATTGCAGTTTTTCTATTTTGATGACTATAAAAAACCGAAAAATTTCCTATGTGTAAAATATTTCTTACATTATACAGTGTTTTCATTACAGAAAAAAAATGAGAGAGAATTTCTCACCCTTTCTCAAAAACAGGGTGAGATCTCAAAAAGTTAAGTGAGATTTCTAATAATTTAAAAACGCGAATAGACTTGGAAAAAAAATATTTCTTTAATTATAATACATTTTTAACATCTTCTAATTTTTAAAGCATTGAATATTTTTGCTGCATCATCGTATGGAAAACGTTCTATATCTACTTTTTCATCAGCTTTTCTCATTTGGTTGTTCAAATGTTTATCAGTCATTTGTATAAGATATTTTGTCTTAATTCGGTTTTGAGTGCCAAATGACCTTGCTGAACAATTCGGAATCACTAAGTAAATTTGTAGCATTGAAAAAAGTTTAAACGTCTTACATGAAGAAATCTTACCTTCCGTGAAGACATGATTGCAGAAAAAGGTGTTCTGTCATCCCGGGGGGGAGGGGGGGGGGCATTGTGTTATGCTGTTCGCGCCAGTTCTGAACAATACTGGTAAATAGGGAAGCTAGATAACAGGGATCTATGTTGAAAATAATGGAAGATCAAGGAAGAAAAGTGAAACAGATTTTCTTCAAAATGGCCGAAGACAAATTTTTTTTCAAAAATTCAAGCATTTTGAAATTGATTAATAGAGTGCGCGAACGTCTCGCTTTAATAATTTTTTAATGCGAGAAAAGAAAAAAATAAGCAAGATTCTCGCGCTGTAGTGAAAATACTGCATTATACAACAATTATCATGAACAATTATCATTTCCTATAAGATCTGGATTTTTTCTTCAGCTATGAGTATAGCTATAGAGAAAATTAGACAAATTTCATACTGGCCAGTAGCTAGTTGTAGCATTTTAAACTGTAGCAACTTTTTAAAACATGTCGTTAATTTTTCAAAAATTAAACATTTTAGGTAAATCTTAATGTAAAGCTTTCTTTTTAAGCATTTCCAAAAATGATGAACCATCCAAAGCTTATTCCTAAAAATGCATCCTTTTAAGAAACGAGGTATAAATAATATAATTTTCCTTCCTACTGTATTTAAAAGCAATAATAATTAAATGCAAACAGGAAGCATTTTTGACATCCAAAGTGACAACTTATAGCTAATACTTAAATCTCCACATCGCCAGCATTGACTGTTTATTTTACTCTGTACAAAAATGTATTGTACCTATTGACTTAATTTGTATTCATTTTTAAGATTACAAAAAAAAAAAAAAAAGAATTTTGAAATTTTAATATGCAATAAATTTTATGAACATTTATAATTTTCAATATTTTTCTCCATGTTGCTGTTAATGTTTGTTTGTGTTGCTCTGAGTTTCGCAGCGCTAAAGTTGTTAGCCAGGAATAGGTGATCTTAAGATTTGTTTCTACTGCCGGCCACAGAGAAAGCAAGGCATTTTCATTATCATATAGGACTATAATAAATACTGGGCATTTTTTACAAACAAATAAAACAAACAAATATAACTTTATTGAGAACAAAAACACATAAATACAAAGAATATATATTCGTCGTCAAGAGGAAAATCCTGTCCAGGCGACAAAGAAAAGTAATACAACAAATTTAAAATAGAAATTTAAAAAAAAAAGAAAAATACAATCATAAATTGCTCATCATAAGACGTCATATATTGTTGAACACTGTAATAATAGAAAACAAAAAAAAATGCATGAAACTATATATAAAAAAAATAATAAATAAATAAATAAAAAAAGAATAACAAAGGTAACATAAGAAATTCATTTGGATTGGCACAAGACTGGTATAAAAAATCAAATGCTTCCTTTAAAGTGAAAAATAGAGATCTAAATCGTCAATGTTCATCACAAATTGAAATAAAGCACGCTTAAAAGAAGAATATATTTTGATGTTTTGCAACTGAAATGGTAATTTATTATATAATTTAGGTGCTAAGTAAAAAAACTGTTTTCGTGAAATTTCTTTTGTAAAGAAGGGAATCTCATACATTTCAGTTGGTCTCCTTTCAGACACATTAGTTTTTAATTTGCATATTAATTTATTGTTGTGTAAATAGAGTAAAATACGAAAAAATACATTATGGCGAAATGGTAATAGGTTAATTCTTGTATATATATTGGTAGTAGTTACACTTGAATTATTTATATTTAGAGAATTAATAATCTTGAAGCATTTATTCTGAACTGAGATTAAGGGAAGTAAATTAGTTTTATATTCACCGCCATATATTATCGCACCATAATTAATTAAAGAATAAAACCAGGAGTAATAGAGTGCTTTCACAAAATTAAAATGAATTTTATTCTTAAGGTGATAAAATTTAACTAAAACGAAACGCAATTTTTTAACTAAATTGTTAATATGTGTTTTCCATTTTAAATTAGAATCGATATATAGTCCTAAATATTTGATATTGTTTACAGATTGTAGAATATAGCATTGACAATTTTCATTAGTACTTTTGCAGGAGAGAGAGTGAAATTTTAAATTTAAGTTAAATTCTGATTTTCTTAAACTGAAATAAATATATTTAGTTTTATTTAGATTTAAATTTAAGTCATTTATTGTAAACCATTTTGAAATTATGCGTAAATCAGATTGAATTTGAAAAATTAGTTGATTTAAATCAGTGCAAGAATACAAAATTACGGAATCATCAGCATACGTTATTATCTTACCAAAAAGTTTGAGTTGACAAAAGTCATTGATGAATATAATAAACAATAAGGGTCCTAGAATAGATCCTTGAGGAACACCACGGTTTGAAAAAATATAATTACTAAAATTACTTCGGATTTTAACTCTATGTTCTCTGTTTGAAAGATATGAAACAAACCAATTTAACATAATTCCTCTGAAACCAGCAAATTCTAATTTTTTAATTAAAAGATTGTGATTGACATTATCGAAAGCTTTTGATATATCAAGAAATATAGCTACTGTTATCTTATTTTCAGCAATACTATTATGAATAAATTTTGAAAATTCCAAAAGAGCTTTTTCTGTACTTTTGCCTTTAATAAATCCATGTTGATTAACAGAGAAAAAATTTGTATGTTTTAAATAATTGTACATTTTATCAGCTAGAGCTTTTTCAATGATTTTGGAAAAAACAGGTAATATTGAAATTGGTCTATAGTTTGATAGGCAGTTTTTATCGCCGGTTTTAAAAATAGGAGTTATGGTTGCTCTTTTTAAAGAAGTTGGAAATATGGATGACTTGATTGAGGTATTGATGAAATTAGTTATAAAATTTATATTATTGAGAGCAAATAGTTTAATTAATTTTACATTAATACCGTCATAGTCAAAGGAGTTTTTATTAGAAAGAGAATTTATTAAGTGAAGTACTTCACAATCATTCAATTCTAGGAAAACAAACGAGGTTAAACTTGGTGAAATATATATTTGCAAACTGTTTAAATTTGGGTTTGAGGTATTGTAGGCATTTGCAAATGATTTATTGAATTGATCAGAAGATTCATAGTCGTTTAAAATATCAGGTAAAGTAAGTGATTTGCTCTGATTACCAATAATACCATTTACAAGATCCCATTTTTGTTTATTTGAATCACAATTTAAAAATTTGAATTTGAAATATTCTGATTTTGCTGTTTTAATTAAGTTCTTAAGCTCAGAAACTATAGTGTTGTATGCTGTTTTGTAAATAATATCCCATGGATATTTTCTAGTTTTTTTGAATAGTTTTTCCTTTCTTCGAATTAAAATCAAGATATTATTAGTCATCCAGTTATTTTTGGCTTTTTTGTTTGATTTATGCTTATATTTAAAATTATTTTTTAAATTATTGAGTTTGAAAACAAAACTTCGATATTGTTGATCAAGAGAATCTTGAGGATTGTAATTAAATTTGTAATTTGACAGATAATTATTGAGCTTATTATAGTTGATTGAAATTTTATTTTCAGCTTCCTTAATTTTATTTACCTCATCGTAATGAACACTGCAAAAGGTTGGATAGTGATCGCTTATGTCATTTATGAATATTCCGGATTTGATTGAAAATTTATTTGTTTTTACGAAGACATGATCAATGCAAGTTGATGAGGAATTTACTCTAGTTGGTTTGTCTATGTAATTTTGAAATCCAAATTGGCATAATAAATTAATATATTCATGAGTAATAAAATCATCACTTAGAATATCAATATTTATATCACCCATCAGTATTATATTAGGATATTTAAGCTTAGAGATTATTACTTTAAGTTCAGTATTAAAAAAATCAACAGTAAAATCATGAGATCTATATAAAGATAGAAATAATAAATCTAAAGATTTGCAATAAAGTAATATAGATTCTGCGGAAACAAAATGTATAGCTAACTCTGAAATATCAAGACATTTTTTAATAAAAACACAAACACCTCCAGAGCGATTATTATTTCTGCAATTAAAGAATGAATTATAACCATCTATTGAGTAAAAATTAGTTTCATTTTGGTAAATCCAAATTTCCGACATAATTATGACACTTATATTTTCAATCATGCTAGAAATATGTGAAATAAAATTATCAAAGTTGGCTCTTAAACTTCTAATATTTATATGTAAAATATTAATGTTTAACTTACAGGTTGAGGTAATAAAAAACTTTAAATCGTCCAAATTTTCAATTTTTAGGCAGTCCGGCACAGATAAAAATGTTTCTTCAGTTGGATGGAATATTAAGGTCTTGAGATGATTTCACACGTATAATTTTGGACGATTCATCTTTTCTCAGGAATATTTTACCATCACGAACCCAACAAAACTTGAATCCCTTTTCAGATTTAGCCTTACGTGAAAGATAAAATAGATGCTTCAGTTCGGGAGTCAAATGTTCATTGAAGTAAACAGGCATTTCAGTGAATCTGGAGTTGACTTCGCAGGTTGAACTTTTTATTATGATTTTTTTATTGCTCTGAATTACTTTGATATTCATTCCATTGTAAAACTTAGATGTATTTAAAGCAATTGAAGTATAATATTTGCTTTACCCTTTTAATATCATATCCAGTAATAGTTATTAGTATACAAACAATAACTCCATAACTTATTCTACTGAGAGACATTTGAGTAAAATTATTGTGTTCAGGATTCCCACGGTCCTTAAAAACTACTTAATTTTTATTTTGTATAATAAGGGCCCTTGAGAGTACTTAATTTTGGTTCAAGGTTTTTAAAAGTCCTTAATTTTTTAGCATCACTATAGTTGATAGGAAAAATTTTTTAGTTCAAATTTTTAGTTTTTAGTTCAAAACTAGAATCCATAGCAAAAACTATTTCCTGAATTAATAGAATCTGTGAATTAAATGAATCTGTAAGAATCTGTAAGAGAATTAAATGAATCTGTGTAATATTTCAATGTGTAATAACTGTAAATTTATAGAAAGCATAAATTTTTTTAAAATTCATGATTGTACTAAAAATTTAACAGATTTGTAAGAAACAGGGTTTGAATAATCCCATCCCAGCAAGATTTTTCATCAAAAACCTATGGTTTATTGGGTTTTTGAGGAGAACTTCAAGTTTTCTTTCAAAAATACTTAAATTTTTCCTTACTGAGTACTGAATATAAAAGCATTATTTGCTTCTAACAAGAAAGTCAAATATTTGGTTACTATTTATAATTTGTTTTGTTGCGATGTAAAATTTTTTTAAGGTAAGATTGTTACTCTATTACTTATATTTAAGGAGAAGCATATTGTGACATAAAAATTCAAATCTATTCGACTGAAAGATTCTTAGATTTTAATAATAATTTTACTAAGTAAACATTGCAACTTAATATACTGTTTTTACTTTTTGTTCAGTTTTTAGTTGCTTTGAAAGTAGTTCAAGTTTTGCGTCAAAATGTTTAATTGCATTATGTAAAGTTATTTCCTAAGAACAAGTTTGACTGGAAATAATTTCCAGTTCATCATAAAAGTAAATATAACACATTTGCTGGTCTAGTAGCGAAATTTAAAAACTTGTTGAAATAATTTTTTCAATGTTTTGGCGAATTTCTTTATTTACTCTTTTTTTTTTTTTTTNTTTTTTTTTTTTTTTTTTTTTTTTTTTTTTTTTAATATGCATGAAAAAATTGCAAATTTTAATTTCCGGACTTATTTTTACAATTCAATTTCAATGAAATCATTAAATGGAATGCAGATTAGTTTCATACATTAACTTTTACAATATGAATGGCAACTAATCTTTTAACAATCTGAAAATGTTTTTTTTTTTTTTTAAAAAAAAGAGAAAAAAAGAAAAAAAGACCTGGATTTGCAAAAATTGCCTGGTAATTCTTTGGTGAGCCCTGTTAATTAATTCAATTATGTCAGTGCTTACCAGGGTTCGTAATTTTCTTTTATTTAAATCAGATTTTTTTTGATTTTTATTCAAATACACTGTAAAAAATTTAATTTACAATTAAAAATACTTTATAAATATTTAGTCAAAATTAAATTAACATTAAAACTATATTATAACTATATTTTAGGAGCTCTAACTTACTAAAATATTTTTTCGTTATATAGTTTTGAATGCATGACAACCATTTTAGACAAATGCATGATTGAAATTTAAAGACTAAATGAAATAGAGAATTTAAAGAGTACTTCAGGGATCTGTTTAGGTTTTTCTGAGATGCACCTATTTTGTGAAAATTAAAACATAATTTGTGAAAATAAAAAATTATATTAAAAAATCAACACAAAAAAGTTTTAAAAATATGGATCTATCGTTTTTTTTACGAGACACAAAAATAAAATTTTAAGAAAACATATTTTGTGAAATTATTCTACAGTTTTTCCTAAAGTTGAATTTGTGAAGGTGCCGCTAAACGGTAATAAATTTGTCTTGGACAGACCCCCATACTTTAACTTTAAAGCAAAGTTTCAATTAGCAAACTATAATTTTAATTTAAAATTGTGATTTCTTTTTTTTTCTTCTTGATTTTTAAAATGACAAAATAAATGTAACAGATTGTGTTTATAAATGTAGTCATTCATCAAATAATAAATAAATATTTTATCTATATATTTTTATATTAAAATATTCATTTTTAATCCTACATTGATAAAATATAATGCAAATGCTTTTCAATCAAAAGGTAGAATTTTAATTAACATAATTAGCATTTTTTTTTTTAAAATCATTCATGTTTATTAATTACTTTCTACAGCTATGCAAGTCTATATTAAGACAGCATTAAATGTTTACTTTAATCTGTACATACAATCTCAAGAATCAGTAGATTTTTAAAAATGCAATTTCAAATGTGTTGGAATTTAACACATATCAAGAAAGAGAGTAATTTCGTTAACTGAAATTAATTAAAGTAGCAATTAATTTAAAATAAATTTTGAAACTAAGAAAAGAAAATAATGAAAGTGTCAATAATTGAAACATTGTTTTTTAACTTTTAAAATCAATATATTTAAAAAATCATTGATTTAAATATATGATTTTTTTTAAAAAATCATTTGATTTAAATCAACGGTGCTTACATTATAATAAATTTGTTTTTCAGCATTTTTTTTACTTATTTATTCTTTTAGGAAGGTAAATAGTTTGCACTGTTGTTGGTGTCATATGTATATTTGATGATAAGCAATCATACTATTTTTAAAGTCCTTAATTTTTCAAAAAAGTACTTAATTTTTTCATAAAAAAAAGTCCTTAGAAGTGCTTAATTTTTGCTTTATTGAAATTGTGGGATCCCTGATATTATATGTAATCAGAGTTTTGCTCATAAAAGTAAACTGAATGCACCTAAACATGTTCATACTGGTGAGAAACCTTATTGTTGTAGTTTCGGTAATAAGAGATTTTCATGATTTTCTAGTCTGACTGAACATAATCACGTTCATATTGGTGAAAAACCTTATTCTTGTAGATGTGAAAAAAGTTTTTGCAGAAGACTCATCAAAATAATCAGTTGCACACTCCTTTTGGTGAGAAACCTTATACTTGTAGTATATGCAATAAGAGTTCTTTAGAAAAGAGATGTTTAACAGTACACGATCACATTCATACTGGTGAAAAACCTTATTCCTGTAATATTTGTCATAAGATTTTTTCACAGTATGGGCAGCTATTTAAACACCTTCACACTCATACCAATGAGATTATAATTACAGTATGTGTAATAGGAGTTTTTCGAGTAAGGAGTGTCTAATTAATCACAGTCACACTCATATTGGTGAGAAACCATAATCAAGTAATAAGTTTTTTCCGGGTAGATTTAATCTTGACTTTTCACATAGCATTTTAACAGTGGCAACTTTTTTATACATGTAATTACTTTTTTAGTTACATCCTAATGTAAAGCTTTCTTTTTAAGCCCTTCCCAAAATATGATGAACCTTACGAAGCTTATTCCTAATACTGCATCATTTTAAGAAACAAGTTGCAAACAAACTAATTTTCAGAAAAGTTTATCTAAAAGAATAATAATAATTAAATGTAATTTTGACATTTGGGGCACTTTTGATGTCCAAAGTAGGGACTTGAAGACAATTTTGTAATCGCTCCATAGCTAGTGTTGACTGTCTCTTTTGTCCTGTACAAAAGGTTTTTGCATCTGTTGGCATAATTTAAGTTTTATTTTATTGGTAACAGAAAAATTGATTAAATTTGAATACGCAATAGATTTTAAGACCATTTATGACTTTTAATTTTTCTTCTTCTCAATGTTGCTCTTTATAGTTGGATGCATTTTTCTGAATTTCATTGTTCTTGAAGACAACCAAAGATATTAGCCAAGAATAAGTGATCTTAAAATTTGTTTCTACTGCCAGCCAGAGAGAAAACAAGGCATTTTCATTACCTACCTTATAGGACTATAATAATACTGTATGCTTTATTTATTACTATGTTTTCTTTTTATTGCTCTGATCTTTTTTTATTGAAATTTATTTACTACTATGAATTACTCTAATATTTATTCCATTGCAAAATTTAGATGTATTTATAACAATTTAAATACTATTTTTGCTTTACCATTTTAATATTATATCCAGTAGTACCTAGTTATTAGTATCCAACAATAGTATCCATAACTCATTCTGAGGGACATTAGAGTAAAATTTTTAATGATATTTTTCTAAAAATATTTTTTAACATGTCGTAAGAGTTTTCACTCTTAAAAAATCTTATGATTGCAATATATTTAGATCTTTTAAATAATAATTAGCTGTATACAGATTAATACAGTTGCATTTTATACAATATGAGTTTTTTAGCAGACAGTAACATGATTAGGCTTAATGTTAATACTAATAAGAATCTTTATTTCTGTGTCATATGTAATAAGAATTTTTCAAACAATAGTAGTCTGACTGTGCACAGTCGTTCTCATAGTGGAGAAAAACCTTATTCTTGTAGTACATGTAATAAGAGTTTTTCATATAGGTGTGGTCTAACTAAACACTATCGCACTCATACTGGTGAGAAACCTTATTCTTGTAGTATATGTAATAAGTGTTTTTTACAGGAAATACATCTAAATAACCACATTCTCACTCATACTGGTGAGAAACGTTATTCTTGTAGTATATGTAATAAGAGTTTTTCAGAGAAGAGTAATCTAACTAAACACTATCTCTCTCATACTGGTGAGAAACCTTATTCATGCAGTATATGTCAAAAGAGTTTTTCAACGAAGCGTAGTCTGATTGTGCACGGTCGCTCTCATACTGGTGAGAAACCTTATTCTTGTAGTATATGTCAAAAGAGTTTTTCAGTGAAGAATAGTCTGACTGTGCATGGTCGCTCTCACACTGGTGAGAAACCTTATTCTTGTAGTATATGTCACAAGAGTTTTTTAGAGAAGAAAAATCTGACTGTGCATATTCGCTCTCATACTGGTGAGAAACCTTATTCTTGTAGCATATGTAATAAGAGTTTTTCACAGAAGAGTTATCTAACTGCACACTGTCTCTCTCATACTGGTGAGAAACCTTAATCTTGTAGTACATGTAATAAGAGTTTTCATATAGGTGTGATCTAATTAAACACAATCGTACTCATACTGGTGAGAAACGTTCTTCTTGTAGTATATGTCGAAAGAGTTTTTCAGAGAAGAGTAGTCTGACTGGGCGCATTCGCTGTCATACTGGTGAGAAACCTTATTCTTACTGTATATTTAATAATAATTTTTCATATAGGTGTGATCTAACTAAACACAATTGCTCTCATACTGATGAAAAACCCTGATCTTGTAACTTACGTAATAAATTTTTTTCGTGGATTTTTTTATTTTTACTCTTTTATTTTTTCACATATTTCGTAATTGTGTTCACCTTTGAGTAACTTCATCCTTTTACTGAGTGTAATAAAAGGTTTTTTGAAATAAAGTGATCTAGCTTTTCATTTGTTTTCATTGTGGTTTTAAAATTCATTCTTTTATGGCTAGTCAATTTAGGTCTCTCCACTACTCTGTGTGGTCTCCACTGCACACATTTGTATTTTCTCCATCACTGAATTTTTTAAACCAGTTCTTCGATCCAATTTTAATTCATTACTTCTTTTTTACTACACATCCTAATCTTTCCTAAAGATTGGTTATCCTAAGCTTTAATTGTTCCCTCCCATCCTCCCTCAGATACCAACAAACTATGATAGTAGGGATGATTGATTTTACATTTGACAATGAAAACCTGTTTAGACATACCTACTGTGAATTGACTGTTTCAAATGTGGTGTATTTTTTTTGTTAAACTTGAATTGTTCCCACCCATCCTCCCTCAGATACCAACAAACAATGATAGTTGGGATGATTGATTTTACAATTGACAATGAAAACCTGTTTAGTCCTTACTAGGACTGGGCTGTATAAGAAATTTTATATCGTGATGCATCGTCAGTTTTGCATCGCGATATAGTATTTTTGAAATTCATTTACTTGTAAGGCGCAGAAAGTCGGATTCCTATCAAAACTTCATACTCAGATTGATTTAATTCAATTTATGAATTTGATGTATATGTTTTCCTTAAGAAAGATATTAATGTTATATTTGCTAGAAATGATCGCGCAAATATCGAAAGATTTCTTAGTTTAAAAATAAATAAAATTGAAATTTATCAATATATTTACCTAACAATATAATAGAAAAATAATTTGTCTGCTTAAAACAAAGTGCTAAATAAATTTTAAAAAAAACTCTTTTTAAACAACACTATTTTTTATCATTATTATTGTCACATAAATAATTAAGTTAAATTGAATAATTGCCGAATTCTGAACGAAAAAACAAAGTAAGGTTTAATTTCTTAAAAATGAGACCAAAAGAATTATGATATTCGATAATATATTGAATTGACAATATTGAAAGAAAATTTTAAAAAAAAAACACGATTATACTCTTTAATGAAACGAGGGGCTAAATGATTAAAAAAAAAAAAAAGGAAGTCGCATACTTACTAATTTTTTTGAATAGAAAAGTTGATTGACTTATGTCCAAATCCAAAAGAGAAAATATAAGTTTTGTTATAATTTTATTTATAAAAGTCAAAACAACTAAAGATTAATAAATTTAAAATAAGTAATTAAAACCCATTAAATTATTAGAAGTTTTATCCAAAAAGTTTTTAATAAATTGAAATAAAGTAAAAAAAATAGCCTAACAAATTTAATTTTTTATGGGCACCTTAAATTAGATTTCCGATTGTAATAAATTCAATAATGTAAAAAATTATTTAAACATATAATATCAAAATTAATTTTCGCATTTAAAAATTAAAAAAAGTTTTGTTTTTAAAAAAAAAATTACCTAATTAATCAAGAAACACTTCTTTATATATTCTTTTCAATAATAGATTACTTTCAGAACAAGGTAACGACGGCGATCACAAAGTCAGTTCCACTGAAAATAATCTACAAGAAACGATCTCAAGTCGCGACAAGGAAAAAGAAAAAACTATGAAGCTCGAAAACGAACTTGCGAGATTACGATATATATTCTCAAAACTATGGTTCTGATTCTACCACTCATCAATCAAGGTCATTTCAACATAACGAAACGAACATCATCTTCCACAGCGCGAGTCGGTATCAGTTTCAAGAAGATCCTAGCTCGTCGTCTTCAGTCTACGGCTTAAATCAGATTTCTGATGCATCGCCTGAAACGAAAGTTGCTGTATCGGCTTGCTGATATATGCGTTAAATCGATTTATAGCCCAGTCCTACTATAGAGAATATTAGAAAACTTTCATACTGGTCAGTAGCTAGTTGTAGCATTTTACACTGTAGCAACTTTTTAAAACAAGTGTTTAATTTTTAAAAAATTGAACATTTTGAATCTTAATGTAAAGCTTTCTTTTAAACATTTCCAAAAATAATGATGAACCTTACGAAGCTTATTCCTAAAAATGCATCCTTTTAAGAAACAAGCTATAAATAAAATAATTTTCAGAATGGTGTAATCTATTCATTTTAATTCCATATATATTTAACAGTAATAATAATTAAATGCAGACGGGGAGCATTTTTGACGTCCAAAGTGACAACTTGCAGCCAATTACTTTAATCTCCACACAGCCCTGTTAATTTTGCCTTGTACAAAAGTTTATTGTACCTGTTGACGTAATTTAAGTATTCATTTTTAAAATTACAAAAAAGAAATTTTTAAATTTTAATATGCAATAAATTTTGTGATCATTTATAATTTTCAATATTTTTTCTCCATGTTGCTGTTAATATTTGTCTGTGTTGCTCTGAGTTTCATGGTGCTAAAGTTGTTAGCCAGGAATAGGTGATCTTAAAATTTGATTCTTCTGCCAGCCACAGAGAAAGCAAGGCATTTTCATTATCTTATAGGACTACTATAATACTGTATGCACTTTTTATTACTATGATTTTTTTTTATTACTATGAATTACTCTGATAGTCATTCCATTGCAAAACTTAGATGTATTTAAAGTAATTTAAGTACTATTTTTGCTTTATTCTTTTAATATTATAGTATAGTATTACAGTAATAGTTATTAATACCCAACAATAACTCATACTACTGAGAAACATTTGAGTAAAATTATTATGTTCAGGGTTCCCCTCGATCCTTAAAAGTCCTTAATTTTTTAGCATCACTATAGTTCAGGGATGGCGAACCAATGGCACGCGTGACATTTATGGCACGCGACGCAATATTTTGGGCACTCCACCGATCACAATTGTTATTGCACAAATGTTATTACGCTATGAAACAATTAAATTAAAATTCACAAAAAACGAACAAAATATTAAACAATTACTAATAAAAAAATTAATACTAAAAAACAATTAATAACTGTAAAAAACAAAAAGTCACATTGATGTTACTTTAAGTTGAATTACTTGTATAATTGAGACATTGCAAAATGTATTTTTTTTTTCAATGTTAATAAAGAGTTTTGAGTTGATAGTTTTTAGTATTATTTTCCCAATAATCACGAAGTCAAAATTATTTGACGGCACGTCTATGACCTCATTAAGCAATTTTTTAGAGAAAACGGCACGTTGGTGTATAAAGGTTCGCCACCCCTACTATAGTTGATAGGAATAATTTTTTAGTTCAATTTTTTAAAACAAAATGTCGTTTTTTTATCACTTAGAATTACACCATACATCTAGGGTAAAGCATTATAGAGTGACAAAAATTAATGTGTGTGTGGGGGGGGTTGTCAGAGGCAAGGGGAGGAAAGCATGTCCTTTTATTAATATATTGGTTCTTTGATTAATATATTCTGCCCTTTGCCTAGTATGATACTCTATAAAGAGAGTGGATTCTTAAAAAGAAAAGAATAGTGTGGACAAGAGGAATACTGCACTTGGAAGAGATAGGGTGAGCTGGGGTAATTCCTGATCAAAAAATGCAAACATCTATTTCGTGAAAAAACTATTCAAGATAGAATTTTAATATTTACTAGAAGTTTCCTACCTTCTTTTGTTTAAAAATCTAATTACAAGGTCCGGCTATTAATTTCCAGTACTGACGTAACTGTAGGAGAAAGAAAAGCCGGAAGATGGTGCTAATGATTGAATATTGAAGAATGTTTTCTTGCTCATGTGCAGTGCAATCGGCGCCATTCTGAAGTGAGTGGTTCTGGTGGAAAGGCGTATTAAAACGAAGCTCTTAAATTCCTGTTGTCGAAGTGAAATGGAGCAGAGAATTAACATTAAATTTTGCTTCAAATTGTGCAAGACAGCTGCAGAAACCTACAAATTGTTAAAACAAGTTTACGGCAAGGAAGCATTATATCGCTCAAGAACTTTTGAATGGTTTAAAAAGCTTTCGAACGCGAAAGCGTGGAAAATGATCCGCTCACAATTCGTACGCAAGCCGGAAGCAATTAAAAAAGGTCGCGTCCAAACATTGCGTTTGCTGTGAGGCGATTCTCAGCTCAGCATGGTGTCGCTGAATCGCAGCATCCACCATACCCGCCAGACCTAGCACACACTTTTTCCTGTTTCTTAATCAGAAAAATTAGCTGAAAGGAACAAGATTTCAGGAAGTCGAAGCCTTCACGAAAACTGTAACGTCACTAATAAAGAGCATTCCAAAAGAGGACTTTAAAACTTCTTTCCGAAATTTGTACAGCCGAGCACAGACGTGCATTACGGCTGATGGGGATTACTTCGAATAATATTAAATGGCTATGTGTTTAACTTTTTTTTCTTCTGAGTTATTCCATGAGTCCTGGAAATTAATAGCCAGACCTTGTATAATTTAAAAGACTTTAAATTTTTAGTGATCAGGAATTACCCCTTCTCTTGATCATTTCTGGGGTAATTCCTGATCACTAGTTTTTATAGTAAAGAGGCTGTTTAAAAATAATTATACAATGGGAATTAACAAATAAGACATCAAGATCAAGCAAATAAACTAAAAAGATATGTTTGAGCAGCTACTAAAACGATTTATTCAAAAACAAGAATAAAGATTAACACTTTAAATTTTCCAAAAATCTTTGCATCCCGTCATACATTTTAGGCAAGCAGCCAACTCATTCTCATGTTCTGCTGAAATATAAGAAAGAGTTCCACATGGCTTACTTTTGCTGGATTTTTTTAACTTCTTTCACTTTTAACTTAAGTAAGAGTGTTAAGTTTAGTAAGGAATGTCAACAGCTCTTGCAGTTGCTTTCACACTGAAATTTTATCATTAAAAGAAATTCACTAATTTTGCTTTCTAGAAGCTTAGTATCCTTTTCAGGTTTTTAATTTCTCACCATATTTTTATTAGGATAATTTATAAACTTAAAAAACATTCTAACAATGTACACACCAAAAATTATGATAAACCAGAGCAAGGTAAGACAAACCAGAAATCAGAACACATTTTTCTTGTATACAGTTAAAAACAAATTTTGTGATTACAGTTAAAATATATTTATAGTTGTTCCACTTAATAAATATTAACTGTTAAAGACAAGACAATTAGCTATTTATTAGCTGTATTTTTACACCATTTATAAGAAGAAATGACAATGATTAGGAGTTACGCCATTAGTAGGGGGCAACATTTGTTGCCAGGGGGGTGGGATTTTTACACTAAATAAAACGAATAGTTTGGGGGGGATTTAGAATTTGCCCAAGAGCTTGGGGGGGGGATGGGGGCCACTGTTTGATATAGTTTCCTATAATCAATTATAATGTTTACAGTAGATGTGAAACAATTAAACAAAAGCTTACACTATTTTTAGATCAAAGGAAAAGAAAATAATTTATTACTAAAGAAGGAAGAGGATCTTTGCAGAAATCTGCACATTATGAAACCCATCTTTGAAATGAAAAATACAGAAAGCACTTTAAAAGATACTTTTTTTGTTAGATTAAGCAAAAGAGCTATTATTAAATAACTATTATAAGTAAATGAAGTTATATTTTAGTGAAGTGTACAAGCATTCTTGTCCATGTCTCAAATTTAAAAAAAAACAAAAACAAATTTTAAATAAAACTTAGGTGATTGTTATTTACCCCAGAAACAGTGTGATCTTGAATTGGGTATACTATAGCCTACGTCACAGATCGTGTTATTCCTACTAAATTTAACTAGTAAACAGCATTTTCTGCGAACCTGATTTCTAGCAACAAGTAAAAACTTCAAACGAAGTGTCTTGTTATAAGTCGCTACTCGCCAGGTTGGAATTGTATTAGTCTAGTTCCTTTGGAAATAATTTATATTGTTGTTTTACCGAAGTTTATGAATTTAGTTAGCATATTTAAAACTCAGTTTATTAATTAAACTAAAAGGTAAATGTTATTCCTAGTAAGTGGAAGTAGTTGTGCTTTTTTCATATTATGCCCAATTACCCCAGGTCACCCTAAATAAAACGATACTAAAAAAAAACAATTTTATTATAATGTCATTGAATTAACAGGGCTCGCCAAAGAATTACCAGACAATTTTTGCAAATCCAGGTCGCGTTTTTTTTTCTTTTTTTTTTTTAAAAGACAATTTCAGATTATTAAAAGTTAACGCTATTTAAATTGTAAAAGTTAATGTATGAAACAAATCTGCATTCCATTTTTAATGATTTCATTAAAATTGAATTGTAAAATTAATTGCAGAAATTAAGATTTTAATTTTTTCATGTATATTTAAAAAAAAAGAGTAAATAAAGAAATTTGCCAAAAGCATTGAAAAAATTATTTCAACAAGCTTTTATATATCACTACTAGACCAGCAAGTGTCTTATATTTACTTTTATGATGAACTTAAACAAAATTATTTCCAGTCAAACGAGTTCGTAGGAAATAACTTTACATAATGTAATTAAACATTTTTGCATCCATCTTTGAAGATCACTATTTACCCCAGAAATATCGTGAATTACCCCGGGTCACCCCAGTACTTTTTTTTTCAGTGGGGAGCAGTTTTAAAGTACCTAAATAGAAGATCCGCACTAATCTTCAAAATTGACAGAATTCAGGAAATTCAGTTCTATAACGCATCTGCTTATAGGAATTAAGTAAAATGCTAAGAAAAGAAGTATAAGAAACTTTTTTTAACTAGAATCCATAGCGAAAACTACTTTCTGAATACTTGAAGAATTAAATAAAATTCTATAATATTTCAATACGTAATAACTGTAAATTTATAGAAGGATTGTGACATAAAAACTCAAATCTATTCTACAAAAAGATTCTTAGATTTTAATAATCATTTTACTCAGTTAACATTGCAACTTAATATACTGTTTTTAAGTTTTGTTCATTTTTTAGTTGCTTTAAAATTAGTTCATGTTTTTCATCAAAATGTTTAGTAACATTATGTAAAGTTAATTCCTAAGAACAGGTTTGACTGGAAATAATTTTGTTTAAGTTCATCATAAAAGTATATATAACACATTTGCTGGTCTAGTAGTGAAATATAAAAGCTTGTTGAAATAATTTTTTCAATGTTATGGCGAATTTCTTTATTTACTCTTTTTTTTTTTAATATGCATGAAAAAATTGCAAATCTTAATTTTTGCACTTAATTTTACAATTCAATTTCAATGAAATCATTANCAAATCTTAATTTTTGCACTTAATTTTACAATTCAATTTCAATGAAATCATTAAAAATAAAATGCAGATTAGTTTCATACATAAACTTTTACAATATGAATGGCGTTAACTTTTAACAATCTGAAATTTTTTTTTTTTTTAAATCCGACCTGGATTTGCAAAAATTGCACCGGTAATTTTTTGGCGTTCCCTGTTAATTAATTCAATTACATTATAGTAAAATTGTTTTTAGTATTTTTTTTATTTATTTATTGATTCTTTTAGGAAGGTGAATAATTTGCACTGTTGCTGGTGGTATTCGATGATAAGCAATCATACTATTTTTATAATTTTTCAAAAAAGTACTTAATTTTTTCATAAAAAAAGACCTTAGAAGTGCTTAATTTTTGCTTTGTTGAAATAGTGGGATCCTTGTTATTATATGTAATCAGAGTTTTGCTCATAAAAGTAAACGGGAAGCGCATAAACGTGTTCATACTGTTGAAAAACCTTATTTCTGTAATATTTGTAATAAGATTTTTTCACAATATGGACAACTATTTAAACACCTTCACACTCATACTAGTGTGAAACCTTATTCTTATAGTATGTGTAATAAGAGTTTTTCAAGGAAGAAGTGTCTTAACTGATCACAGTCGCACTCATGTTGGTGGGAAACCTTAATCATGTAATAAATTTTTTTCAGGTATATTTAATCTTGACTTTTCACAGCATTTTAACAGTGCCAACTTTTTTATACTTGCAATTACTTTAAAATTACATCCTAATGTAAATCTTCCTTTTTAAGCCTTTCCCAAAATATGATGAACCTTACAAAGCTTATTCCTAATACTGCATCATTTTAAGAAACAAGTTGCAAACAAAGTAATTTTCAGAAAAGTTTATCTTAAAGAATAATAATTGTCACATGTATTTTTGACTTATGGGTCACATTTGACGTCCAAAGTAGGGACTTACAGACAATTTTTTAATTGCCCCATAGCCAATCTTGACTATCAATTTTGTCCTGCACAAAAGTTTTTTTTGCGCCTATTGGCATAATTTAAGTATTATTTTACTAGTAACAAAAAAAAATTGATTAAATTTGAGTACTCAGTAAATTTTATGGCCGTTAATGAGTTTTAATTTTTTTTCTCAATGTTGTTTTTTTAGTTGGATGCATTGTTATGAATTTCATGGGGCTTGAAAACAACCAAAGATATTAGCGAAGAATAGATCATCTTGAAATTTGTTTCTACCGCCAGCCACAGAGAAAGCAAGACCTTTTCATTACCTTATAGGACTTTTGTAATACTGTATGCATTTTTTATGACTTTGATTTTTTTATTGCTATGTATTTATTACTATGAATTACTCTAATATTTATTCCATTGTAAAACTTAGATACATTTATAACAATTTAAATACTATTTTTACTTTAGCCTTTTAATTTAATATCCAGTAATAGTTATTAGTATTCAACAACAACTCCATAACTCATTCTACTGAGAGACTTTTGAGTAAATTTTTATTGATGTTTTTCTAAAAATATATTTTAACTTGTCATAAGATTGTTCACTCTTAAAAAATCTTATGATAGCAATATATTTAGATCTTAGAAATGTTAATTAGCTATTTACAGATTAATACAATTGAATTTTATACAATATGAGTTTTTTAGCAGACGGTAACATGATTACACTTAATGTTAATACTAATAAGAATCATTATTTCTGTGTTATATGTAATAAGAATTTTTCACAGAAGAGTAATCTGGTGGCGCACAGTCGCTGTCATACTGGTGAGAAACCCTATTCTTGTAGTATATGTAATAAGAGTTTTACGGGGAAGCGTAATCTGACTGTGCACAGTCGCACTCATACTGGTGAGAAACCTTATTCTTGTAGTATATGTCAGAAGAGTTTTACAGAGAAGAATAGTCTGACTAAGCATAGTCGCTCTCATACTGGTGAGAAACCTTATTCTTGTAGCATATGTAGTAAAAAATTTTCAAGGAAGGATAATCTAACTGAGCACAATCACATGCACTCTGGTGAACAACCTTATTCCTGTAGTATATGTAATAAGAGTTTTTCGTATAGGTGGGATCTAACTAAACACAATCGTACTCATACTGGTGAGAAAGCTTATTCTTGTAGTATGTGTAATAAGAGTTTTTTTGAGGAGAGTAAACTAACTAAACACTATCGCACTCATACTGGCGAGAAACCTTATTCTTGTAGTATTTGTAATAAGAGTTTTTCAGAGAAGAGTAAACTAACTAAACACTATCGCACTCATACTGGCGAGAAACCTTATTCTTGTAGCATTTGTAATAAGAGTTTTTCAGAGAAGAGTAATTTGACTGTACACTATCGCTCTCATGCAAGGGAGAAACCTTATTCTTGTGGTATATGTAATAAGAGTTTTTCCCAGAAGATACATCTACATAGCCATAGTCTCACTCATACTGGTGAGAAACCTTTTTCTTGTAGTATATGTAATAAGAGTTTTTCATATAAACGTAATCTAACTAAACACAATTGCTCTCATATTGATGAAAAACCTTGATCTTGTTACTAACGTAATAAAAAAAAATTGTTAATTTCTTCATTTTTACTCCTATTTTTACACATATGCGTAATTGTGTTTGCCTCTGAGTAACTTAATTCTTTTAGTGAATGTAATAAAGGATTTTTTGAAATTAAGTGATCTACCCTTTCATTTATTTTCATTGTAGTTTTTTTATAATTCATTCTTGTACTGCTATTCAATTTAGGTTTCTCCTCTCCTCAGGTTTGCGATTTCTCCATTACCGATTTTTTTAAACCAGTTCTTCAATCCACTTTTAATTCATTATTTCTTTTTCACTACACATCCCAATCTTTCCTGGAGGTTGGTTATCCTAAATTTAAATTATTTAAACCCACCCTTCCTCAGATACCAACAAACAATGCTAGTAGGGAAGACAACCCTGTTTATTCCTTACCTACCTACTGTAGATAAACCCTTCCAAATAAGATCGTTTATTTTTAACTTGAATTGTTCACACCCACCCTTCCTCCCTCAGATAACAACTAACATTGATAAAGGAATAAGTTTATTCCAATAAAAAGCTTGTTAAAATAAAAAGCTTTGTGGAAGCAAAAAATCTCCACTGAAAATAACTCCTGCATGCATTGTTGTTGAACTCTTGGAATTTGTTGCAACTCTTTTGCCTTCTTCTCATTTTGTCCGAATTTGTTTGAAGATCACAGATTTTTTGATGGGTTTTATAGAACTGTATTTTGCAGGGATAAATTTGGTAAAAATTAAAAACTTAAAAAAAATATAAATCCAGAAATGTTACGCCAAAACACTTTCTAAATAATTGAAATTTGAGCATGTGTAAAGTGTGTAGTCCCATATGTTCATAGAATGTTATCAATGTTTTAATGTAGGTATGGATGAGAGATTCTATTTATTTAAAATGTGTAAATATAAATCTCAAAAGAGTAAAAGTCTCTAAAATGTATAAACTGTTATTAGGCACTTTTTTTCGATTAATCTAATAAAATGAAACCTTTATTTTTAATCTTTTTATGAAAAACAGCGCTATTTCTTGCGGTTACATCTATGAAATGCGTCTATTTACGAATATTGCGGAGTCGTGACAAGCACAATTCGTCACGAGCACAATTTGTCGCCAGTACAACTCGTCGTAGCAAAAAAGGACAATTACAGTGACTTTTTTAAAAAAAAATCTTAATCCGTTCATAATCTCTCATAACTCCCAGAAAATATTTTATTATTCTTTTTAAGAAGACTAATTATTGAGCAAAAAATGCTTACTTTCGTTTTCATCTGAAACGGGGAGTCACGTGATTATTAACGAACTGATGTTATCCATGTTCATCTGCCGTTCATTTATAATTGTTATGCAATGTAAGCGATTACGTTCTGATTTTCGTTTGAATTTTCCTAATAAAATCCAACTATTTTAGAAAGTTAATAACTACGTGAGATATAATTATCCTTTAATGTAGCTTAATGAAAATGTGAGCTTTATATACCGTATTTTCATAATAGTGCAAAATTTCAATGGTACCCATTGAAACATTGTAAGTAGTTAGCACAATTTTCTATCTCTGAATATTTAAGATTTTTTCGTTCAGTAAAAAAAAAATTAAATGAGTTCTATGGATGTGTGATATCACTTATTTGACTGATGGAGCCGTGATAGCTCAGGGTAACAGAACGTTCGCCTTCCAATATGAGGTGAACTGGGTTCGAATCCCAGCAATGGCGAATCCCGCACCTAGCTCGAGCTGTCTACAGTGCTGACGTAAAAATATCAGTGGTAGATGGATGATGGGTTAGAGTCCCCTTGTCGTCAGGCTAACCATGGGAGATTTTCATGGTTTTCCTCTCCATGCAAAACAAATGCGGCTAAGTTCCATCAAAAAATACTCCACTAAGGCAAAATTTATCCCAGTACTTTATTTAGAGGTTCCCTTGACTTCTAGATTGGGTTCAAAATTGCAAGGCTACGGGGTTGAACATTAGCTGTTCAACGACGGTTTTAAAATAAAATAAAATTCATATCATTAAAGTTATATTTCAGAACTAAGAAAAAAAATTATTTCTTTTTTTTTAACTTTTCTTTTATCACCGTTTTTATTATATCAGCAGGTTTTAAAGATCGTTTCTAATGAACATTATTCTTTTACGGGCACTTTTTTCTAAAAATACGGCTCTGTGAGAAAGTTCAATTGTAATTTCTAGCGTTGAACCTTTCATTTAAAAAGTAAGAATATTTTTTGTTTTGTTTTTTATCTAGAATTTTCTTTTTCAAAAATGTATTTGTTTTCTTTATGACGCGGCAATTAAGAGGGTATCTATTACATTTTAAACTTAACTTTTTCTTAAAAATACGGATTTTGCAACTTGAATTTTTTAATAGTTGTTAATCAGTTTTTTATTTATCTTTAATATTTCTAACTATCTATTAAACATTTTTATTAAAAAAATTTTCCTTAACCCCTTACTAATATTACAGCTAAGTTTTGATTATTTTTAAATGATGACTGAACTTGTTTATATTTTATAACAATCGTTAAACAGCTGAGACAATATTGGTTTTACGACTACTAATAATCATCTCCGTTGCCTTGTAATTTTGAACCAATTCAGAAGACAAGAAAACGCGTGGATCAGCACCCCCAGAGGAAGACTTTTAGATGGAACTAATCTGCTTTTGCGTTACAAAGGGAGGAAAATCTCCCACTGTTAGTCTGCCGGCAAGGGGACTCCAACCCATGATCCGTCTACTACCACTGACAATTTTTTACGTCAGCACCGTGGTTGGAACGAGCGGGAAGCGGAATTCGTATCGACCAGCCGTTGTTAGGATTCGAACCCGGTTCACCTGTTCGGGGGACGAGCGCTCCATCCCCTGAATCACCACAGTTCTTATATCTGTGATAGCAGAGAAGAACTCATTTTAGCACATTTAAACTGGCCATTTATAGAAGTAAAGCATTCCTACAACAGCCCATTGTGGGTCGGGGGAGTTAAGGAGGTAAGGGCTCCACGTTTTCGTGACCATCGGTATTTCTTTTCTTTTTTTTAATTTACTTCTATTTTTTTTTTCATCTCTTTCTTGCTTTTGACATCAAGTCAAGCACAAGCTAATAAAAGGATGATCTCGAGACAGAAAAATTTTTCGACAACAATCATTATTTAAAGTAAAAACAGTTAAAAAGAATCCACGAAAAAAGCGCCTGAAATTGCAACTTTCAAGCAAACTGAAATTTCTAAAAAAAAAATAAAAAATAGCTTTATTTTTATAATTAAAATAGCATATTTAGCATGTCAAATTTCAAGCACATTTAGCTTAATTGCATTTATGCAAGCATTANTTCAACAAGGTGCATTAATTCCCCTTCATCTTCAGCTGGTTTGAGTTTTCGGGCTCGCTAAATCGGAATAATTTTCATTCCATTTACATTATGAGCTAAAGTATAAATTTTATGAGACGAAATTAGATTTAAATATAAGTAGACAAAAGATAAATAGATCGCAGGTGGCAGCAGTAAATGATAAACAGCATCTTAACGGGTTATGGTTACGGTTCCGAGTGGTATTGATCGTAGATTTCAGTATTTAGAGAAAAAATCGATGTCGTGACAAAAACACGATTGCAATATTGATATCAAATATTGTCCGGGGTTGTTCGGATATCTCTAAATTTATATTTTAAACTTATTTTTTGGAATTATAACAATTTGACGTCATTTTTTGTCTTTTAAATGATTAATTTTGATTTAAGGACACAAAAAAGTTTTAAATGATAAGTTTTACAAACATATTTTTATAGTGAAATCGACGGGAATCGTACAATATCGTACACACAATTTCGATTTTCGCCAATATTGACAATGTCGGTCGATGTAAACTAAAGCTGTTACAATATCCCTGTGCTACTTGGGATATTATATAGCTTAAATTCTGAAAGCAAGAATAAAAATTATTTTACAATAAACCTTTAATTATTAAATACATTTCTTTACATTTTTGCTTTTTTCCCCTTTATTTACAATTGATGCATTATACTGGCTGAAAAGCATACAAATCCTACACTAAATTCAATGTTGTTTAATAGACAATTTAGGACAAACATGCATAATGACTAGTAAATTTTAAGAAAATTTAAAGGAAACAAATCAATACAAACATACGCACCTTCATACTATGCTATCACTGCGTTGTGGAGTACCTTAAAGTGAGACTTAATTTTGAAAAAAGTCTTCATGAGTGTCCTTCAGGATTGATGCGGCTTAGAAGGGGCAATAGGCGGAAAGATACTTGATATTAAATAAGAAACAAGTTTCCTCACTAAAGCCCCACTGAGCCATTCTGCATCCTTTAAAGATCCAATTGAATAATATTTTTCATTTCATCATGTCTTGCTTCAAATAATTCCATCTGCTTCTTCACAATTTCTTTTGAACTGTTTTCTCCATACAAAGTTGCATCCTAAATTGAAAGGAAACAAGTGTGAGGGAGAATTATGAAATACTACATTATACGTAATCTACTAAATAATGTCTGAAGTAAAAAATTAACAACTATTTCTTATATGAATCATTACAAACATTATCTTTAAGGGGAGAGCCTACTAACCTAAAAATAAGAATTTTTTTTTTATAAATATCATCAAAATCTAACTAAAACATTTGAAAAAATTTGATACATAGAATAAATTAATTCTACTCTTAATAGACAAAATAATTAAATAATAATGTGTATTTGTGAAAATATCAGCAAAATCCTTATTGGAAGCTCTGCCACCCAGAAGTTCATTAATAAAAACAAATCAATTTTAATGTACATTAAAAAAATTTTGTTTATTATTTTGCTCTATTTATGAAACAAGCATTATATTTTATCTACTTAATTAATATCTTAAGTAAAAAATCAAAAACTATTTTTAATATGAATCATAACATATTATCGTTAGAGAGAGCACGCTCAACCACATAATAAAAGACTTCTTTCACAAATATTAACAAAACCTAGTTAAAACATTTGAAAATATTTGGTTAGAATAAATTATTTCTACTCTTAATAAACAAAATGATTAAATAATAATGAGTATTTATGAAAATAAAATCTAAATCCTTATATTCGAAGCCCTGCCACCCAGAAGCTCAACCACGCAATACAA